AAATACACGCGATTGTAAAAATACATACGCATAGAATCATTCGTAAGGAGAGACAGATCGTGATCATCGGTTCGATATATTATGCAAATATGACATCTGCCACGTCAAGCGACACGTTTTCGACCAGAAGCTCGCGTGCGCGACCGATCGGAGTGTTAAAATCGAGCGTGAGGCCGATCTTTTTGCGGGTTAACCGACGATATTACTACCACACCATGCAATGCATCAGTCGCGCGTCCATATTTGCGTGTTGATTCGGCGAGAACCGTAGCTTCGATCAGGTTCTATTGGCGAAGGTCCGTCGAACATTAGAAATTATGCGATACAACGAGCGCGCTTTAATTACTTTAAATATAAAAATAACAAAATATAAACGATAGAGTAATGCACTCTCTTAGGGGGATAATTTCAAATTGATATAATTTATTTAAATCTCACCAATTTATTCGTTCGTCTAATAAAAGGCCTATAAAAAGTACGCTCATTTATATCTATTCCATTCGCGTATAATACCGTAGTTAGAGACAAGATATATGACAACGCCAACATTAACCATACGTCGAAACACTCATTTTTTCCGCAAACATCCCTAACAATAATCACTGACATCAATATCTGTCCATACTGCTGTCCATGTTGTTGCAGCCATCGAGGGAATGGTAATTTATTAGTTTCTTGCCATTCGCTGGAAAGTTCTCCTCTTGATTGCGGCGTGCCTGAAAGGTGCGAAGGTAATCCACTTTATTCGTCACACCTCGCGAGCTAGGCCGGGCATTGATTTCGCATTAGTGCGACCAGAGCACATCGCGCCCATTCCGCCCAGTCCTCTTTCTCTTCCTCGTCGTCGATGCCGATGTGTACACAGTGCGCACGTGTACGTTCACGTGCTCTCACCGCGACTCCATTCGTACAAAGGGAGCGAAGCTTGACGCGGCCAGGTTGCGGCACGCAACGTCGAGGGCGGCGGCGACCGCAATATTAGATTAATGGCGGATGTACTTCACTTTCGGAGGGCGCCCATCATGGAATCTTCACGGAAATTAAACTCCTCGAATATGCCGTTGATTACTAGATTTCGTAAATTCGAATTCGATATTTTACTTCAGTCAAAATTCGAGAAAGAAAGAGAGAGAGCTCTTAGCGTCGTTATTATTGATACAGCAAATTGATAAAGGGAATCCTTGATATAAATGGCAATTGTGCATTGTAATGCTAAGAAAATGCGTCGCGAGAAAACAAATCAGCATATTTTTACAGATATTTAAAGCTATATCAGTTTGTTTTTTCATAATAAGAATATATCAAAAAAAAATTAACAAAATGCTTATTAGTGTATCGACGTAATAAAGAATTAAAGATATCTATTTGTGTTATACTGTATGTACAAAAAAAAAAAAAAAAAGAGATTTACAATCTCTTATCTTATTAAATATAAATCAGGAATAATCGCATTCATATAAATATTAATTTATTGCCTTTCTCTTTGCTTTTCTTTTTCTCTCTCTACTGAATACAATTAACCACTCAAAAAATTTCGAAACTCGTAAATCAGACTTGCGCCTCTACCCACGCGAGCTGCGTTCTCGTATGTAAATCTTTGACAAGCATCTGAACCAGTTTCTATCTTCGATCGATGCGAGATCGCAAACGCGTACCGGGCGAAGATCCGGCGGGCCAGATCGCCACGTGACAACAACAACGACGACGACGACGTCGACGTCGCGGCAACGTAAACCAACGTTGGAAAAAAACGACGCGAAGAGTTATAGCCGTCGATGTAACGGAAGAAGAAGGAACACGACGCGTCTCTCTGCTTGAACAAGCGGCAGCGACAGCGATGGCCTCGAGGGCCCGAGAAACGTGGTGGAGGAGAAGAGAGAAGAGCGGAATGAGAGATCCCCGACTGCGATCGCGATAAGATGCAGCGGCGTTGTCGGTTGACAAAGGGTCGTTGGAACGCCTACTCAGATCGGACGCACAACCGCTTGCGGGGGCGTCCATATTAAAATCGGCCACCCGTCTCTCCTTCCCTCTCTTCATCCCCGTTATTCCCCCATCATGCCCCACCATCGACCGGTCCCGCGATCTTGTTTATTACCCCCGCGCTGTACACGCTATATTTGCCAGAAAACGCGGCAACCCTTTACCGACGTATGTTGCAAGTGTTGCAGCTGACTCGAAGCACGACGTTTAGATAACTATTGACTCGCTGCATTTAAATTTCCATTTATCGCGATTAATTAATATAACGTTTAATTACTACAGCTAATGTTTATATGTTTTCTTAGGATTATTAAAAACGCACGAGATCTATATATGACAATAATATTATCAGATTATTGTAAATTTGATATGTAATAATTATGAGATATATAAGAGATATAAAGATATCATAAAAAGATTAGAGATATAAAGATATAAAAATGTGTCTTTCATTCTCTAAAATCGTATGTATAAGTAAATATGCGTATTGGATTAATCATGAGTAATACATTCTTCAATAATGACGGCGTGTGTCACACACACAGAGATATAAAATACAAATTTTCTTGTATTACGATCTAATTATATAATGTTTATGCACATACCTGATGCAATATTAAAACTTAGATGCAAATATCTTGTGTACGTACTTTTTCCGCAAGGATATTTACACGAATGAGAGAAGACCCTGACTTCAACGGACAAGAGTAGCGTGAATTTGAAAATATGATTCATGCTGCACTCTAGAATCGATTTCCTCAAACAGTTTCTCAAATTTTCAGCAAATTCCTACCTATTCAACAAACGATAAATGTGTTCCCAATAAAACGGTGTGTTTATATGCGAGTGCTTTCAGTGACTTCAGTTTCTAATTTCAGTTGAACGTCATTTTTCGCGTTATGTGAACTTCGATAATTAAATAAATCTGTTTTTTTCATTAATCAAGCATTATCAAGATGTTTCCGCAGAGCTCGCAAAAGAAATATTGGATGTACAGCGATGAAAATGATTTGACTATATTGAGGGAAAAAAACAATGCTGAATTTATTGAGAAACATGGAATTAACATGACTGTGAGTCTATTTTTTTTTATAAATTATTCGACCCAATAAATTTTATGACTATCGTTTTTTTTAACTACGTTTTCAATTCTATGCATACTGATTTGTGAGTGGAAATACTGATGTCGAAAATTGAAGTTATGTATAGGTTATGTATATGTGTAATATTAGTATTAAGTATATATGTAATATTATTATTGCAACAATTATCTGCAATACCAAATGTTTATTCAATCAAAAATTTATTGTGCACGACGTAATTATGACTGTTTTATTATAATAGCCAGAACAAAGGGAGGAATATTTTCTTTCGAACACAGAGGAGCGTACGCTACTACGTTTCTATGAATTACAATTAAGAGATTTCTGTCGTCGATTTAACCCACCAATGCCTCGCGCTACTATAGCCACTGCCTTACATTATTTTAAAAGATTCTACATTAGGAACAGTGTGATGGATTATCATCCGAAAGAAATCTTGGTTACTTGCGTTTACCTAGCATGCAAAGTAATTATTCTGCCTGATATATCATTTTCCACGATATCTGTAATCTGAATCTTCTTACACGAATTCCATGATTTTTAGGTCGAAGAATTTAATGTCTCCATATCTCAATTTGTAGCAAATATTAAGGGAGATAGGGATAAAGCATCTGATATAATACTTAATAATGAATTGCTTCTCATGCAACATTTAAATTATAATCTTACAATTCATAATCCTTTTAGACCTGTGGAAGGACTTATGATTGATATAAAGGTGATTTTTTTTTTCTTTTTTTTTCATTTTCCATAAGACAGGAATAAATACGTTACGTATGTTTTTTTAGACAAGGTACACATCCTTGGAAAATCCTGAAAAATTAAGGCCATATATAGATGAATTCTTAGAAAGAGTTTTCCTCACAGACAGTGTTCTTCTTTATGCTCCAAGTCAAGTTGCGTTGGCTGCAACTCTGCATGCAGCATCCAGGGCTTCTGCAAACTTAGATAATTATGTTACCGACATACTTTTCTCAAGAGAGCAATTGGGAGGGATTATAGAGGCAGTGCGAAGTAATTTCATTTTATATTGCACAAATTTGTATGTGCTTTTATGATACAGGCTATTTCTATATCCACAAATTAATTCTTATAGAAATACGTTCAATGGCTAAATGCGTTGAACCTCCATCGCGAGAAGTGATAAAAGCTTTGGAGAAAAAATTGGATAAATGCAGGAATCAGGAAAATAATCCTGATAGTGAAATGTAAGTGCATTTATATGTTCATTATCATATTTTAGAGAAGATTGTTTGTACAAGATTAGGGAATTTTAGATATAAGCAGAGAATGCAGGAAATGCTAGACGAAGAGGATTTACAGGATAATGAAAAATATGCAAAAATTATTCAGGATCAGGCGGCCTATGACGACAAAATACTAGGAGTTAATAAAATCTTATCTCCCTCTGCTTTAGGATGATATATATACATTTTACATAATAATAAATTATATTGTAGTATATATAACTTTATAACCCATGTATATTCCTCAAATAATTTTACAGCTTTGTTTTTTATTTTTTTTTGGTAGTAATAAATAGGATATTACACAGTGCTGTTATTTATTTGCATTTAATCTAAAATGTAAATATTATTATATTATTCGTGTTTCTTTTGGTAAAATCTCGATATATAAATATCGTACATATATTCAATTTATAACTACTATAGTATTTTAAATAATTATTTATTTTGTGTGTATATTCTCTTCTCATGTATCTTTAATATATAAAAGCACACATAAAAAAATATCGATAGTCATAAAAATTTATTGTAATAATATACCTAATTCTTACCTTATCCTTTATCTTAAGTTTTATATTCCGGAATTTTGCGAAATTTCACGACGGGTACATCTACTCTATCAAGGGACACGATCGAATCTCGCATCAATTTATTGAGACATGTGCGCATATTTTTTTTAAATTAATCGTAATACATTCACAAATCTCAAATTATAATCTAATACATCTCCATTTTTCATTAATTTAATATCATACGGCATGTTAAATAATTTAATTGTTAACGTTTTATATTGTCCGTCACTGATAACACTTGTTTACCTGAAACTAAGGATCGCGATGCCTGAAGTCCAATCTTTGAGTAAGATGATGCGCGAGATAATTAGTCGGTATATTTTGGAAAATAGACGTTTGTTGTCTCGCTGACAAATTACTGGGCAATGGTTGAATAATGGGTAATGCAGGAGGCATGGCCAACGGTGTTAAATGTTGTGGGATCAATGATACTCCCGATTGTGGTTGTCCCGGGTAATTGAAGAACCTACGGAAAGACATATATTAGTGCCGTATATGGGTGTGTGTTTATGTTAAGAGCGTAAAATGTTTAACTAGTATATATTAAAAAACAGTGTTTTGCCTCAAATACATATATCTAGCAATAAAATCTTGCGGAGAGAATAATAAATAATATATTTTTTATAGAAAAAGGGGGGAGAAGGCTTTTTAATAGTAATAAAATAATACATTTCTTAATATATTCATAGATTTATACCATAAGCGATCACCAACGAAAATAGGTCGTGGAGCTGGAATTCCTAGACTGGAATAATATTGCTGAGCCAATAATTCGACATCATTAGTGTACTTTCTTTTCCATTTGGTCCGTCTATTTTGGAACCATATCTTTATCTGCGAAATATATAGGAACTTATCAGTTAATCAAAGTCTTTAAATTAACCGAGATTGATATTAATCGCATATTCAAGTTTAAATTAAAGATTCAATGATATATTCAATGATAATTCAATTATACAAATATATGTTAATTCATGAATACTTAATCAATATAGTATTGCTCGGAAATGTAATTAATTATTTAATATTATTAAATCTATTTAGTCATAAAATCGCTAATACATTTTCTTTTTATAGTGTCCGATCTCAAAGTGGATATATCGTAGAAAAAATAATTATTCTTTGTGCGGGTCAAAATTTCCCACAGAAAAACCACGAATCCCTTTGGTTCATGGTAAAAGCGGCTCGCAGACGTACAGCCAGCCATGTATTCTAATTAAAAAATCGACGCCTCTCCGGTTCGTCGCCTCGACGGCGCGCAGCAGCCGTCGTTTGGTACATTTCGTTCCGCGGCGGATGCAAACCTCGCGACAACGGAACATACGAGATAGCCTGCGAGAAGGGGAGAAAAGGGAGCCCTCCCGAACCGGCTCGTTAACTCTGAGAAATATTGTGACAGTTATGTCTGCGGCACGACGCGTCTCCCTCTTTGCCTCCAAACTGTCGTCCGATCGTTCCTCCCTTTCGGCCGCGATCGCGGAGATAATTATTCGGCTCGTTCGCGATATTTCGACCGGCGCTGGCAATTATTGCCGGCAAGCAACCGACCGATGAAGGCATGGCGCAATCTCCGTGATGGCGAATATTCTGGGTGCTCGTCGTAAATTAATTAGTTTAAAGCACACGGGCGAATATCAAGCGCACGCTACAAAATGCACGGAGACTTACGTAACTGACGCACTCCACGCATTTGCGGAGGAATCGTGCGGACCGGTTAATATTAGAAAATAATGTGCTCGTGGAAGATTCGCGGCGAGATTACATTCGATGCTGAAATAAAAGCGAGACCGATAATAATGCAAAGATTATTTCGAATACATTTCATACGTTATGAAATTGAACTATCACATTTATTTAACTTGATAATTTATGCCGGTAATTCCAAACACATACAACTCGAAATTTCATGAAATATTTTCATGAAGTTTTTCAACATCTGTCTTTTATAATTATATAGCTGATTTCTCTGGTTTCGTTGAATATATAAAAAAAACTATCTTTAAGAAGAAATTAAGTGCTTAAGAAAAAAATTTCTTTCCGTAACAGTTCGCGAGAAGGAAGGGTGAGCAAGTGCTAATTGGTTTTAAAGGACGATCCTCCCCCTGGCGCCACGATCTGGCGCCTACACATATGGTGCTCCATGGGTCCATAATTTAGAGTCAGTTGATTTTAAGGAACTCGGAGTACAAGGAACTTAAACTGCTTCAGGTGTTGAAAAAAGGTCTACGGAAGTAGGAGACATTATCGCGATTTATTGAATGCAATATCCTATGTTTGGGTATATCCGCTCTCCAATTTTCCGTGTTCTTTTCCAATTATATATGTTTATGGCACGGAAGAACTTGATATTGGAATACGTTAGAATGATTGGAGAACTGTTACCAGTGCTTTTAAAAATGAGATAGACACAGCTGTCGCTTATTATTAAGTCAAAATGAAATAAATATATAAAATCTTTTAAAAAAGAGGGAATTATTTTTTACATCAACATTAAGATATTTACTTGCGTTTCCGTAAGCTTCAAGTTTTTGCTCAACTGCAGCCGCTTTGCCACGCTCAAATACTTGTTCCTTTCGAATTCCGCCTCCAAAGATTTAATTTGCGCAGCGGTGAATGCCGTGCGTGGCCTTTTCTTCCTTTCGTCGTCACTAATAGCGGCGGCGGTCTTTTCTTGAATATCTCTGTCCGCGCTCGTGGTTGAATTTGCACCACTACTGCTGGTGCACGCTTCTGCAACAATATCCCATATCTTATAATACGATGAGCAACATAAACAACAACACGTCTTCTGAAATATACTCTATAAGTTATTCCACAATCGCATGTATTAACGATATAATGATATAGTATATAAAGACATAAATCGGCCTTAATCATCGAATACGTAAATGCTTTTTAATGATCGAACCGGTATATCGGAAGTAAGCTGTCAAACACGGCCTGATGAAGTAACTGCAAATTATAAAGCGCAAGTCGCTGGATATGGAAACGAGAAAGTATCCTGGCTGCTGGAGCGTAGTTTAACTGATACGAGCACCGAAATCACGTCATTATTCACTCGAAACCCGTTGCTTTCGTTTCGGGGCACCATATTTTATTCTTTTAATCGCTTCTGAATGAAGTTAACGCGCCCGAGATTATTCAAGAGATCAGATCATGCCGCTAAATACGAGTGGGGCTCCAATTATCACCGTGGAATCCTCTTCCTCATCAATCTCAAGATTTTTTGTCCGTCAAAGTTGTTTATATTTATATTTATCCCGGCTTACAAGCACGGTCGTACACGACGTTGCGCCGCGTGTCATGAAGAATGTCCTCGGGCTCGCTTTTAGGCGGTTGGTAACAAGACCGCGCTCTCTTAAGCGTCGGAGGATCATCTTCTAATTATCTGCCCATTCGTCATCTGACGAAAAAGCGTTACACCGCGACGCCGACCGAACTTTCACGCTTACGACTAACGCTGAAAACACTACACTACAGTTATTCACGATAATATAATTTTAATATTTTTTGAATAGTTTGTTAAATAATTCTTCAACGTCGACGAAGCGAAAGATGTGCAATTTAGAGAAAACGATTGCAAGGATAATAAATCTTTCGAAAAAGCTATTCACGGCGAAATCATTTCGAAAAGTGCCGTTTACTGGCTACTGATTGTTAGATGACGACGTATTTGTCGTGTTTCTCGCGTTTTCTCGCTATAACCGCAGCATCACCAGCTAAAACTGTACCATCTGTAATTCACTTCGATGCAAACGCCTCCACATTTCGCACTTTTAAAAGATCATGTCAGCTGTTGAGACAGCGTTAACATTTCGCATCTGTCATATCTTTCAAGAGAATATTTGAACATGATTTATGCTCATTGTTAATATATTATGAAAATGTTCCAATTGCTTTTTCTAATCTAAAATCATCAACATTATTTTTTTCAAGTATTATAAATATACTATTGATATAATGATGAACCTAAGTTAAATATTCACGATATATCGTTCATTTAAGAATACAATGATAAAAATTTAGAACTACTGCAAAATAAGATTATTGATTATTATCAATATATAAATTAAGAACATTTAGTAATTTTTTTTACTTCTTTGTCAATACGCAATACGCATAAGATCACCACAACCTGCTCATAACCGGAAGCACGTCGAAAGAAGGAGAAGAAAAGAGTCTGCAAGGGGTGAGTCTCGCACGGCTCATTTGTCGTCGAGTTTCTGACTCGGTTGCATTGACGAACGAGCTCTGGAAAGGAGCAGGAAAGGATTGATGTAGAGGAAGCAACCGCAAAAAGGAACCGACGACAGGGAGGATGAAGGGGAGCCAAACTCGAGGGACAGAGGCACGTTGGACGTTGCGGAAATAGAATACCACGCCTTCTAGTTTACCTAATTGCTGCGAGCCACAGCGAACTTGTCTCCTAATTATTCGGTGACGAATAGCCCGAGAGCAGAAAGGCGCGATAAAGCGCGGCCAAATCTTATTCGTCTGACATTGCTGGTCATTTCATGCTGGCGATCAACTGTAAAAATAATTAATTTGCACGCGACTCGCAACGATTGACAAATCTGCCTCGAAGATGGTTCTACGAATAGGTCTTTTGTTGCTAATTAAGACCTTAATATTCGAATAGTAAACTTACTTAAATTATCAAAAAAATTAAGGAAGTAAAGATGTTACAAAAATTTATAATCTATCATTTTTAAAAATTGGAATAATAATTTTTCAGTTTTTCCTATCTTATGTCATTAATATCTCGGCAGATAATATTTGAAAGTAAAATTATACGGAAAATGGTCACATATAGATGCAAAATTATTATTCAAAATCATAATGGGTTCTTTCAAGAAGAAGCTTTTCTCTCGCGTCATCTCTTCTTCCTTATGTCTTATGTTCTCTCCCAAAGATTTACGTGTCGCGTTGACGGCTTTGTAGTTGGACGCGACGTCCCACATATCTCAGTCCCCAACATACGACGCAAACGAGAATTGTCCTTTCCTTAGATCCCGAATTTATCGCGTCGGCCATTACGGTGTGTAAATCACGACGCCGTAAGTTACATGCCTTCGGATGAAAATTAGTCGTTGAGGCCCTCGAGGGCGTGCGAGATGCCACAAAATTGAGTCGCTCGGCTCTTGTATTAATTATCCGTAAAAACATAAGCCAGGTCGTTCTCTCCATTATGTCGTGTCGGACGATGATTGAAATATTTTAAAGACAATATTGCCTCCAGCGATTGTACTAACACACAGTAACTATCCTCGGAAATAATTTTATGTAAATGGTTTGCAATGTGTTGAGCAAGCTATAGTGATACATAACAGATGACAATAACATAAATTCGTCTTATAAGAATCTTATGATCGTGTTTCAATTTTGACCTTCCAAAATTTTAACTTTGAAATTTTAGAAACTTGGAAAATTTCTTAATCGAAACACAGTTATAAGATTCTTATAAAATATTGTTTAGTTAAATTTAAACTATTCCAATGATTTTTAATAAAAGTTCTATAGTTTTGCAAATAATATTTCGGAGGAATCTCAAAGAAGTTTTACTCCGTTCTTTTTCATTTTATTACAAGCAGGAGAGTTGCTGCAGATTTCCGTGGCAGAATTAGCAGGAGACAGATAAATAGTGAACGAAGAGCAAGAACATTGAGTGGGCGTGGAGCCTGCAGGAAGTAATGGATCAAACTCACAGGCGACGTCCTTTCCACGCAATCTTACGAATTCGTTATCGCGAGAAGTCTCATATGAATTTTATAACAATCAATTCGTCTGATACCTGTGATCATGTTGCCGGCTAATTGGTGCAATATTAGTGGATAGCAATATAATTCTCGACAGGCTCAAAAGATCAAAGTAATATTTGAAGATCTTAGAAAAGAGAGACTCATAAGAAAAAAGAGAGAAACATACACACTTGAATTATCATTAATTAAAATAAAACTACTTTTATTTTCTATTTATCAGATCAAGATTCTATGAATAATACATTGCAAAAAATAATTTATTCTTCATATTAATATAAAAATAAAGAGACAGGTAATAGTCGTCATCTAAAGGAATAAATTTTGTTAAAAAAAAAATCTTTATTACTCATACTTCTTTAAATGTGATAACATTTTCTTTGACATCGCAGCCTCTCTCTGAGAAATATGAATTATCAATTATATCATTATACAATTACATGTAAAGAAATTATAATTTCCCCAAATTTAATTGTTTGTTAACAGAATTACTGAAATATCAGGTTTAATTCTTTTGAACTAGATTTATATGTGATACGCAGATATCGTCAAGATTACACTAACAATAAGTAATTTCTCTTCGATACGTATGACATGTTAATAATATTTTAAGCTAAAAACATCAGTATTATCATCGACGAACATGTCTTTATTAATCATCTAATTTGAGGGAATAAATATGTACATTAAGTATTTCCACAACGCGATACAAGAACGGCATTCTCGGCTGTAATAACTTCAATGGCTATTATCGATGAATTCAAATATTCGCGAAATCTTTATTTCATCTGTTTTCATTCGAAATGTCTTTATTACTCAGGCGATTAACAAAACAAATACAGGTGTTATACACCTGTATAATGTGCAAACTTTGGTATTGGCGTTCACACAATAAGCAAATTTATTTTTCCAAAAATCTATAAAAGTATGGACTTTTAAAGCACGGACTGTATTGAAAAATAAATCTGTCACGTGATAAATAAGTCGATATTTTAATTAAAATTCTATGCATTGATACCCATCTCCTAATTCTGTGATTATCTACATCAAGCGGCAAAAAAATTATCTAAGCAAACACGATTAATTAGAATATAATATTATTTCTTTGTAATTAATAGTATTTTTGAAGCCTTTTTCTATAACATTTGTATATCTTAAAAAAATATAATTTTAATTAAAATATATATAACGAGAAAATGTTCATTCAAAAGGACATTGTATCGCAAATATTTATGCGACTGTCTGAAAGTGTAATAGTGCATAATGATACTAATGAAACTCACCATAATATATCTCTGGCTCGGGAGATGTCGAGCATACTATGTCGGTATCGTCAAGCTCAATTTCCTCCGCCATTGACATGGATGAATCGGGTGCAACAAGCATTCTCGTCTCCGATTCATTATCTGGCAAATGCAATTATTTTGTTTAATTCGCATCACACAGAATTGTACTACATCAAGATTATCTACAAATTGTATTATGGTTCCGAATAGAAAGAGAATGTATATTGCAGAGCTTTTAAATGAGAATTATCTCTTCTGTTACGTAATAATGAAATATATAACAAAAAAGTTTTTTACATAGTATTTCTTTTATATATATATATATATGAAATA